AGGATAAATGTTTGATTCTTCCCCTTAATTTACCAGTTTATAAGATAATGAATTGCTGGTTATCTATCAAAAGGAAAAGAAATGAATATATTAAAAAAACTTAGGCCAGGTGTGGTGGATCACGCCTGTAATCCTATCACTCTGGGAGGCTGAGACAGGTGGTTTCTCTGAGTTCATGGGTTCGAGACCAGCCTAATCAAGAGTGAGACTCCATCTGTAAAAATAGCCAGGTGTTGTGGTGGATGCCTGTAGTCCCAGCTACTGAGGCAAGAGAATTGCTTGAGCCCAAGAGTTTGAGGTTGCTATGAGCTATGACACTAGGGCACTCTACCGAGGGTGACAAAACTAGACTGTCTCAAAAAAAAAAAAACTAGACTCATATGTTTATCACAACACTGTTCACAGTAGCAAAGATAGAGAGTTAACATCAATGTTCATCAATAGTGGATTTGAGAAAGTAAAGTGGCATGTATATGCAATGGAATGCTATTCAGCCATAAAAAAGAATGAAATTATGTCTTTTGTAGCAAAATGGATGAGATTGGAAGCCATTATCTTAAGTAAAGCAACTCAGACACAAAAAAGACAAATACTCTTTGTTCTCACTTAGAAGTGGGGACTAAATGATATGTACATATGGAAGCAGTATGTGGAATGATGGATAATGAAGACTTGCATGGGTAGGGAGTTGAAGTGGAGGTGGATGATGAGATGTTGCTTGGTATGTACAATGTGTGTTGCTTTGTTGATGTATGGACTGAAGGCCTTGACTTTACCACAATGTGGTAATATATCAATATAGTCAAATTGCAGTTGTACTCCATGAATATATACAAATAAAAAATGAGCTTGGCGCCTGTAGCTCAGAGGCTAAGGCACCAGCCATATACACCAGAGCTGGCAAGTTCAAACCTGGCCCAGGACTGCCAAACAACAATGACAACTACAATCAAAAAATAGCCAGGTGTTGCGGCGGGCCCCTGTAGTCCCAGCTACTTGGGAGGCAGAAGCAAGAGAATCGCCTAAGCCCAAGAGTTTGAGGTTGCTGTGAGCTGTGACACCATGGCACTCTACCGAAGGTGACATACTGAGACTCGGTCTCAAAAAATAAATAAATAAATGAAATAATGAATTGGATCTCTGTTATCTTTTTTGGTTGTATGTGTCATAATCCATGTAGTTTAATATACAGTAGACCCTCTGTAAGCTGACCACCCAAAGGACTATAACAAACTGGTCAACATACAGAGGTGGTCAACATAAGGAGGAAGGCCTTCTGTACTTATCCATTCATGTGATGTATATCTGGTCTATGAAAATTAGGTCAACTTAAGGAGGTGTTCAATGTTGGGAGGTGGTTAACTATGGAGGTTCTACTGTATGTGATAGATTTTAATATGTTGGAATTTTCTGTATTAAAGTTCATATTGTCTCATCTTTCACCCATAGGAAAAAAGATGATTCCTAAGTCCTTTTGACATGACCTTGGTATCTGACTAGTTAAAGGGACAGTTTGTTTTGCTTTTCAGAACCCCCAGAATGTTTTCTGTGCCTTTGGGAAAATAGCTTTTAGAGCTCCACTTGTTTGCTAGAATATTTATTTGGAACAGAGTGATAATGATCTTTGATATGTGATTTATAGGCAGATAGGCCTTAGAACTTGTGTTACTTTTAAAGAATAATGGTCTTATTTTTTAGTATATGTGGAAACTCAAATTAGCATTTTCTACCAGTGAGTTTTGAGTCAAGTTAAAATGGCTTATTTAGTCAATTAATAAACATTTGAATGCTTGCTTTGGGCTAATCTCCATAATCAGGGATGCTGGGAATTTAAATAATCACAAAACCTGCTTATTTATTTAACAGTTAAATAAGTTCCAAGGACTGATTTTAAACCTAATTTATTTTTTCTTTCAGACCTGTCACGAAATCGCCTCTCAGAAATTCCTTTAGAAGCATGTCACTTCGTATCCCTTGAAAATCTCAACTTGTACCAAAATTGTATTCGGTATATTCCAGAGGCAATTCTAAACCTACAAGCTCTGACATTCTTAAATATTAGGTAAGAATATTGTTTTCTATTTTTAATTGTTGGTTTATATGGTCTTTAAAATTTTCTCTTTTGTGGCTCAGTGGGTAGGGCTCCAGCCACATATACCAGAGCTGGTGGGTTTGAACCCAGCCCAGGCCTGCCAAACAACAATGACAACTACAACCAAAAAATAGCTGGGCATTGTGGTGGGCGCCTTTAGTCCCAGCTACTTGGGAGGCTGAGGCAAGAGAATCTCTTAAGCCCAAGAGTTTGAGATTGCTGTTAGGTTCCTATGAGCTGTGACGCTACAGCACTCGACTGAGGGTGACTCTGTCTCCAAAAAAAATTTTTTTTAGTGAGATTCTGTCTCAAAAAAAAAAAAATTTTTTTTTCTCTTCTCTTTCACTAAAACATTTATAGATATTTATATTATCTGTTTATATCACTGGTGTCTGTACATGTGCTTAACAGTATTTCCTGCATCTCTCTAGTTCAGTGTTTTTCAACACTTTTTAATCTCACAGCACACTTGAACCTATAGTTAAATTTCCACAGCACACTTAAATTACTGTGATCAAAAAAAAGAAAAAGAGGGGAAGCGCCTGTGGCTCAGTGGGTAGGGCACCGGCCCATATACTGAGGGTTCTGGGTGCCTGCAGTCCCAGCTACTTGGGAGGCTGCAGCTACAGAGTCACTTGAGCCCAGGAGTTTGAAGTTGCTGTAAGCTATGACAGCACAGCACTCTACTGAGGGCGACGAAGTGACACTGTCTCAAAAAACAAAAAAAAAAAAAGGAAAAAGAAAATCACTGCTCTAGTTTTTCCCTTTATCTTTGGCTTTATAATACATATTCTGCTTAACTTATCATGAGGTTACATCCTAATAAACCAGTCATTATCTCAGACATGCCTTTAACCCTTTGACTGCAGAACAGTCAGAAACAAAAAGGTGCCAATTGAGGCATGTAGTGATTGGTGTGTATAATGATTGTTATATACAGCACACTGCTGTATGTTCTTTGGTTTCTTACTAATCAAAACAATTCATCCAGGTTGGTTTCAATTTCAATATTTTATGTTTATAAAAAAGGTAATATGCAAACAGAACAATATGACATGAAATGATAAAGCTTTGCCATATCAATAAAAATTTAATAATCCTTTTTTTGTATGTTATAATTACAAAACATCAAAATCATGTATTTTGGGATTTAGATTTTCTCTCCATTGAAGTTGCAGAGGATTGACTTTTTCAAAATTTGAAATAGGTTCTACACTTTTGTTTTCTAAATCAGATTCTGAGGTAATTCATAGTTTACATTTTTTGTGAGAAATATTTTTAAAGGTACCTCTGTATCCAAATTCTCCAACTATCATTTGAGTCTTCTGAACTTGGTAATGTTGAATTTATCATATTTCTTATTTATATATAGTCCCACAAGAATCACTATTTTTACAAATTATTTCAGGCACAACTGTGAAATATATTGAGAATGGAGTGTATTATGCTTACAAACTAAAGGCAGATAACATAACAGTAACATGTGTCATTAAGTTTTTGTTTGCAAAATGAACAATGCTTGCAGGTTTTGTTCACACTAGAATATCTTGTTTGATGTGAATGCATTGTTCACAGTCAAAAGATTAATATACCTAACCCATCAAACAATAAAGCCTAGCCTAGCCTACTTTAAATGTGCTCAGAACATTCATATTAGCCTATGGTTGACAAAAGAATCTAACACAAACCCCATTTTATACTAAAGTGTTGAATATCTCAGGTAATTTATTCAATACCATCCTGAAATATGGTTTCTACTGCATGATATTGCTTTTGTACTGTTGTAAAGTTGAAAAATCCTAAGGCAGCCAT